AAGTATTTTAACTACCACAAGTGTTGCTGACTGACACAAAAAAGAAAAGAAACAAACATTATTATTTATTGTAAATTCGCTACTCTCAGAATCTTCAAATTAACGAATTGTAATGTAAATCGTAATTCAAAAAATAATAACATTAGACACTTGAAATTTTCGCCAAATGTTAAATCGACCATTTTACATATATGGTAAAATGTTTAAACTATTTTTTACTCTTTTTGAGTTATTTATAGACATTTGAAATTTTAGGTGTAGGACACAACCTCCGGGTTCCAAATAGTTTTTCGAATACAATGATTTGTTATTGAATTCAAATACATCACATATACATGTTACAGTTTCATACTTCACAACTATTGTATAGAAGAGTGGGTTATACTATTACACCTTTTTCATTTTTAATTTGATTTCAGTCAAGAATTTCCCCACCTCAATTTACTGTATAAATAAACCACAAAAATTAAGTAACATTATTTTTCTGTTTGAATTTCGGCTACTGGACTTCACTATTTGTATTACTGTGTCATGTGTTCTGAACACCCCTCTCTAAAGCGGAAGTAATTTAAAAAATTGAAATTTTCATATTGTTAGGTTTACTTACACTATATATGAAAATATTTGTTCCAAATTTTATGCTTCTACCTAAATCTACTGGATGTGCTGTATAAATGTATAATGTTAATGATTAGTAACCGAGTAAGTGAATAAACTTGAAAGTCATTTCTATTGAAACAGTTTATTATTATTTGGGCTCAATGTTTTACATCATCTTGAACTATTTTGGTTTACTTAATGTTTCAAATTTAAAAATCCAAAGAAGACAGGAAGCAAAGATACGAAGATAAGAAAACTGGGTTAATTTGTATTTTTAAGCCACCAGGTATATGATGATAAATAAGTGCAAATAACAAAAAAAAACTTATAATTTTATGATATTTAAAAGTGTAGAAGATAAATATTTGCATTGGGTAAGTTCAAATAAATTCCACCCTGCTACCAGCTTATCGATCATTACTATGTATTCATTGGTGTAGAAGATACCTACGTTTAATAACGACTCGTGTAATTGATAAACTTATGATTATAATAAGTGTTTTCCATACAAAAATAAGACTTGTTTGTACACATTTCAGAAACAATTTCAAACTTTAAAACGTTCTTTTAATTACCTAATTTGTGTTAGGTAAAATTAATCCCGGTTAAGTGTAATGCACCTATTATTAAAAATGTTTCAAAGTTATTTTCATCAATCATTAAGTATATTGACGTTTCAGTTTTCAAAAATGTATCATATTTAGTAGTTCATGATACGTATTTCATTAAATATTAGTCATACATTTACATATTATTTTAAAAGCGTTTCAATTTATAAAACATTTGCAATTTATAATACCCATTATCCATGCTAACCTTTTTGTTTTTAATATGCTATTTCACATCGGTTTAATTTATTTATTTACACTGACAGTAAACATTTTAAGTATATTTAATATTTTTGCCAATATTAAAGTCACAAAATATATTTAAATAATAATAATTGATCAAAAATTGTTTACCATAAAAAAAAATATTGCATAACATTTTATAATAATATATTGTTATTCATACATGCAACTATACTAATGGAAAATGTCAATAATTGTAATGTTATGTTATGTTTTATTTTATATTTATAAATATGCATAATATACGACATAGCAAATTTTCGTTTACACGTTTCAATAGTGTGCTGTTAGTTTTGATATTAGAGTGAATTTACCTATTATCAAACTTTTACTTAAGAACATTATCTATGTTCTCTTGACAGTTTGTTGAGGTATTTTGATTTTTAATCTTCAAGTCGAAGACCAAACATGTCTTCTTAAAGGACCATAAAGGGGAAAAAAATATGTAGCATGTAACTATTTTTGTTCACAAAAATATGAAATCCAAAATAATAATAAGTAATAATAATTACGACGTATGAGGTAATAACTAGAGCCGACGCGAGATTAAATTCTATGACGTCAGTACTTCAAGCACCAACTTTAAATTACTTAAACTCGCTAACGAAAAGTCGTAGCAAGTTTAGTTTGGACTTCTGATATTCCTTAATTACATAATATATGTTTTTTCAAGAATTTGTTATTTATTTTCCTTCTATGGCCCTTTAAGCAAACATCATTAATTATTGTATATTAGTATATATTTAAAATTGTACTCAAGCTAATAACCTTGATGTTAATGCCGTAACAATAAAAAAAAATGTTCTCATCCAGCTGTACAAACAATTTTGTGTTACTAAAATAATAATGTTATATGAGATCTTATAATAGCCATTTTCGAAAATAAAATATAATAAAATGAAATTTGGGTTTAGGTCACTTGAATTTTTGTGTACTCATTTCATCTCATACCCTGTTTTAGCCGATACGATATTAGTAGTACTTATATAGGTACCTCTAAGTTATACCAGTTCGAATTATGAATATTTATGTGTGTTGTATATTGTATACAATATTCATTTATAAATTGTTTGCATCAATAAACGATAGTAGTAGAGGAGTAGTATTGTTCTAACAGTCTCCTCTGCTAACAGTTGACCAGTAAAAAAAAAAAATTTCCCTATAAAAGTAGGTGCGCATGTTCAATATTAATGGCAATAAGTGATTAATTAATTAATTAATAAATACGTGTTTTTTTGATTTTTTTGGAAAATATCACATTGGAGAATAAACTACATATCTGAACTCAAAGTACAAAAGACTTATTTTTTTGTTATTTCCTTTTCACCCGAACTTGATTTATCTTAGACTCATTCATAGATAGGATATCCGGCAGAGTTAATGTGCCCATGTACAACATTAACAGTGAACCTACTGTTGCTGTGTCAAAAAAGTAATGAAGAAAAATCAAGAATATTCTGAAAAGAAAAAATTTAGTCTTTGTATTTATATGCGATGTGTATGTCATAAATAGATCAAAAATATTCAATTTAAAAATAAATAATATTATTTTTGTTAAATATTATAATTTGATACGATGAGTTAACTTTTTTCAGAAATGTAAATATTTACAATTAAAATAAATACATATATGAGCGTTGTTATGATATTTATGATTATACACATCTCTCACCAAATTGTAACAAAAAAAAAATGATGCGAATTTTGTACAAAATAGGTAGGTAACTAACATTTATTTTTAAATCTAATTATGATTTGCACCAACAATCCTCTGAGCTACCTAGCTATTAAAATCAAAGTACTATAAATAAGTGTACATGCTTGAGTCGTTGGCAGCCGCGCAAAACTGTTATACTATAACATAGCACTAAAGAAATCAGAAATTCATCAGTATTTCCCAAATAAGACAAAAACAAAAAAAATATGAATATAATATAATATAAAGTAATGATGGTAAGGTTACCAATGTAATATTATCATATTGTATTATTATTACTTTTGAAACAATTAAAATAAACTTGTAAACTTCACGAAGCATCAACTTTTAAAAATAATGAATACATTTAAATAGATGTTTCAAGTTTTTTTAGGTATTAAAAGAACAATTACGATCTACGTGCATGAAGTTATACAAATAACAATAATGATTATACAACATATTATGATTGTATTATATAAAATAAATAAACAATGGTGTAATTTGAGGAGGTAGCCCTTCCAGTGACAGAACTGGACGTGTTTATTCTAAATAGAAAATTTATCATAGTAATGATACAACATTATATTAATATTAAAAACAAAAAATAATATTTCCATTATTATAAAGTCTCAACTAAATATTTTTACGACGAGTATTATTCTTATAACATATCTACTCTTGTACCTAGTGATATTTAATTTATTTCCAAGCTTCAGTCACAGTATGGAAATATATTTAATATTATGTATATATATATATATATATATATATTGTGGGTGTGTGTATAATTTTAAGTCACATGCGATATATTATTATTCTGGATATGACACACAATTTACATTCTATGTATAAATATAATTGATTTTACTCTTTTATGTTTAATATGTATTACTGTGACCCATTTTATAATACATTATGCACTATGCCTACATCTATAAGACATAAATATTAAGTACTCACTTTTTATTCATTTTTAAATCAATATCGTGTTGCTTTCATCTACCCACTACTGACTATACTATGGCTACTGTGCATGTCAAACCGAGTCATCACAAAACTGTTAATACTTATTTTAATATTAATAAATCCTAACAATTTTAAGATTTGTTGGCTAAAACCCAAATGATAATATTCAGAGATGTTTTTTTTTTAAATTTTAATTATTATTTAAAAAATAAAAAATATACAAATTACAATAAACATATTTAATATCGTGGTTTGAAAAAAAAAATGTTTATAAATTGGCAATATTTTTAGTGTGGGAAGATGACCACGACCTCTCATTGTTGGAACTCCAGTAGCTGTTATTCAATAATGTCTAGTACGATTAGATAACAATATAATATTTACTGTTCGTATTATCTTGACCAAACACCTAGTTAAGTATTGAATTTTAATCCGCCCGCGATGATTGTTTGGTTGATTCACTATCATACGATTTATGATGTGAACTGATTAAACTTTTCCATTAGTTAGAAACCAAATTGTTTGTGGAAATGCTTTTGTGATTAGGCGTTCAGATCCACTTCATTGTCTAATTTAACACATTAAATAGTTTAATCTACAGTCCACAATACAACTAGAAATCGTGGAGTAGTAACACTGAGTTGTTCTTTAAATCCCTGTTGCAAAGCAGTTCAAATAATAATCCTGCAGAACTGGCCCTAAAAAAATGTTGATGATATTCAATGGATTTAATCTACCCGGATAAATAATTTGTTTTTTTAACCTACTTGTGTAATATTAATAATATCAATTAATAATAACATAAATAAAATGATAGTTTTATAATATTATTAAAGACATGCAAGTAAGTAATTCGTTTTTTATTGTTTTGTTTTTTGTTTTAGGCAATGGTTGTCTGGTGTTATTGGCATAAATTCGGAATTCAGTACCTAATATTTACTATTATATCAATCAAAATGGTATTGGGTAAGTATTTCAGTGATTAATAATATTATTATAATTTTTTTATTAAACGAAATGGTCACCTCTTGGACATATTTTTATACGCAGTATTATAATTTGTATTCAAAAATGTTTACAGTCCGAATAAATAATTTTGACCAACATTAATATTTTTTTATAAAGCTACGGCTAATTTTTGAGTAAATATATATATTTCTAGGTAAATTATCAGCTCAAGTATTTACTTAGTGAATTTGTGATACTAAATTTTTTCTTATGTTTTTATATTTGTTATTAACAAAACCAATATATAATTTTTGCAAAAGACATTAAAAGTATATTATGGTAAATAAGTTTTTAGCATTAATATGTCCTATGTCTGAGGGGAAAAAAAATGTGTAACGAAAAAAATGTAGTTCTTATTGTTGTATTTCTCAACACTAGATACTAAACTGTAATTTTCAGATTGATTTTAGTGTATAAAATAGTATTGTAAACGTACACTGAGTTTTACGAAGAAATAAACTTTCAAAGTCGAGAGTATGTATGATGCCGAACTTTTATTTCCGATTTCGATAATGGGCTGAATGAATACGTTTAAGCACATGTTTTGCTGATAAGGTTATGAAAAAAGTTACTATAAACTAATGTATACATGTAAGACATTTTTTTAGTTAACAGTAAACAATTTTGTTTACTTTCATATTTAGAACTAAATAAATTTCATTCACAACAATAAGGTGTGTTATGATAAAATTAGAAAATATTAAAGTCGTTTATTATAGTATTGCATGTTGAAGAAGTTTTAAGAAGAAATTTAAAATGTTATATTTGTATGAAAGCACTTGCAGGCTACCTCCAAAACCCGAAGATTTATTTACTGAATATTTTTAATTAAAAACTTTAACTGTATTCATCGTGAAGTGTTTTACTGTCAGGGTAAGATAGTATATGTAAATAAAATGTCTGGGTACACTATATTTTTCAGATAAATGTAGATTTAAAATGTGCGCATTTATCTACCATAGTATAATAATATGTATGGTTGAATATCTGAAAATGATGAGAAAATAGATCAATAATAAGTGTGAGATTTATTGTAAACTATGTTAAAAAACATAGTCACACTCAAATTTATCACACGATTATGTTTTCAACAAGTCGAGTTTCTATTGAAGGATGATTTTTAATTGCTACGTATTATTAATACAACTTACTATTTTTTGTGCAGCATACAACATATTTTTATAAAATGTCTTCATAAGTTTAATATTGACTAAAAACTAATTAATAAAAAAAAATTTAATATTGAAAAATAGACAGCATTATCGTCCATAACCTACTATTGATTAATGGTAATAATATACTTTGATCATTTTTTTCCTAGTTAAAATATAATATACATAATATTATAATAGTTGTACCTAATACATTCATCTTTTTCTTTTACGATTGGCTGTATTCATAAACTGTTATGACAATATATTATATAAATATGTAATATGTCTGCAGTTACCTAATTAATAATCCTCAAAAATAAATTCAACAGACAAGAAATAGATAAAATAAGTTTAAGAAATGTGAAGTTATTTTTTAATTACGAAACAATTATGTAATTTTTGAATACATGTATGTATATTTATCGACATCAACTATTTCATATCTTTGTCATTATTTATAGTAAAAAAAAAATTGTCGATTAATTTTTTTCATTGATTAGTTTTATTCCTCGAATTTCGGACAAATCTTACCTTCATCTTTATGTTCCAGCTAGATTTTTGTGTTCGACGAACTCCGTCAAGGCTTTACTGTAAAATAACATCTCATACTAGACAGAGATACTTGATGATTTTGATGTATTAAAATATATGCAGGTCACGGGACCAATTCCATTTGAGCCATAATATGGTATGTCATATATGGAGTATGCACCTTTCAGTTGTATACCTCTACCTACAGTTGAGTGACTGAAAGACCATAAATTATATACAATAATTCCTATATAGTTCCAGGAATGTGAGTTTAAAGCTAGATGACTGATTTTCTGGTTTGAGTTTAAATGAAGTATTGTATGCAAGCGTATGGAAAATATTTTACCTATTTCATTGATTAATACGATTTTGGTGTCTGATTTTTGTAAGGATTTATTGACAAGTCAGAGACCTCTGATAATTAAAAGTAGTCAGATGTTTTGAATGAATGTACGTCAAAGTCAAATGGTAGAAAAAAATTGGTAAATTTGGCAACTTGCCACATTGATTGCATACACACATTGATCACATGTACAGATTTTTTTTCACCAACACTGTGCTAAATCACTGTGTCAAGAGACAGACACAGAGATAGGAAATTGTTTTGAACGTCGAAGTATGTAGTGAGCATTTAAATATCGATATAGTTTTAATATGAGATAGTAATGGCCGAATGTAAACTTTATAGTTTCATACAAGTAGTCCTTAGTGCCAACGAATAATGATATCGAATTCTTTTGCTAGGTATATTGTATTCTGACAGATTTTAGCACAATATTGCTTGATTTCTAGTGAATAAATTCAGCAAGACAGTGATGGGTCGTGGAGTGGTTTTACCTATAATGCTCAAAAATATTGTTATTTATTTAAGAAATTATAAAGAGAGAGAGAGAGAGAGAGAAAGAGATGTTTTGATAAAAAAATATTTAAGTAAATCACCTAATAGCAAATACTTGAAAAGTCTAATTAGCTCGTACACAAAAGGTTTCTTTATGGTTCTTTAGGAGTAAGGATACTTTTAACAATAACTTATGGTTTCCAGGTTGTTTGAAAATAAGGTAATTTATCGTAGAAGTATTTTAAATATGTGTGAGAAGAGCGAATGTTTTTTAAGGAGATTTTGAATTACTCTGTTGGATTATGATCAAGAAATATTCTTTTATCGTGTTAATTTTTTCATAGTAATATTATATTATATAACAGCTAGGTTTGTAGGTTCCTATTAGCATAAGAAATAAAAAATATTAAACTCTTTGAGGTACTTTTGAAGAACTGTTTTATCGGATTCTAAGTAAAAACACATAATTTGAATTGACTGTGAGTTAAAGTTATTATTTATTTATTATGTGTATAATAATTATGGATGCATAATAGTGTCTACATGAAGCAATAAACCTAGTGAGTAAAAAATTCATTTTTTTCAGGATGCACATAAATATTTATGGTGTAAAAATAAGAAAAATATTTTTACGAAAATACAAGTTAAAATGATCGATATGGAAAGAGTGATATTTGATTAAAAAACATTGGTGACTGATTTACGCACCTTAATTGAATTAGTTATATAAGGGTGATACGTTATATTGTCGTCAACATGTTTATGACTGACTTAAATAGAATTACTTGGTTACATAATAATTTGTTTTATTTATTATTTTAAAAAATATCACATTTTTTTCTTTATTATTATTTAAAATATATAATTAATGATTTAATTTGTATTGACTATTTTCGGAGGTCTATAGATTAGTTAATTTTTAGTTTTTGGTAAATTTGTGCTAATGTAATATGACTTATATCTACATCTCAATATACTATTATTATTAAAAACCAAGGATGTCGGTCAGCAGTTTAGAATATGACGTGTCGAATGTACCACGTCGTTGAGTAAGTCACTGTAATGCAGGGTCTTCAGCCCATATCCCACTTTATCTTTATAGGTAATATGAGTCCTGCAAACACATTGCAAGCATAACTTATGTTTTTACACATATAATTAATCGGTAACACATGTTTTATTAGGATGTGGCCCTCGATACTTAAAAAGAGTTCGAGTAATTATTATCCTCATCTTTTCTATTTTTTTCTCAATCCCTTCTATTTCAAAAAAAAAAAAAGAGTAATTTTTAATTTCCAGAAACACTCCCTCAAATTTGATGATTAGAACATATTTTCTACTATAAAACTTTCATCGAATACAAAAGATATTTTTTTTCAAATAATTATTACAGTTCATCGCTCTTTCAGGATCTAACAATCCAGATTTTTGTCTGAGAATTTTGATGAGTATAATATTATATTAAAATTGCTTTTTGACTTAGAAGTATTTTTATAAATGTTTTAACTATTTTATATTTAAAAGTTACAGAATATTATTTAAAATAAGTTATTTGTTGTTATCTACTAATAATTTTCAGGTTATTATTTAATTTAAGTAAACTTGGAACATTAAACCATTAATTTTGACTACCGCAGTAATTTTAATTATTTTAAAAGGATGATTTGATATTAATAAATTTGGCTTCAATTTATTTTAAAAGCTTAATAGTTAGTACCTAGTGTTATTTTTAATTAATTAACAATAAATATTTTTTTATGTCTTTAATAAATTTGTTCTACAACTATACAAAATAAAATAATAATAACAACTGTAATTTGTTGTACCAGAACATGAGGAACAAATTATAAAATTATTATGTATAATATATATAATAGAAGTAATGTTGTAGGTATCTGAAATGTATAATTATATAATGTGTATATCACATTAACTTTTTTATTGATGTATGATGATTGGTAGTATATTGTTAAATATCAAAGTCGTCTAAACAAAATATTTTACATTTGTTGTTGTCGAGTGAAAAAAAATACTGGGTATTCTACATTTTAATATAAATAATATTGTTGGTTTTGTCACATTTCGTATATTATAATATTATGAAATGTATACATATTGTTTTGTTTGCATGATGAATAAACACATTTGGTGTGTGTGTATTTTTTTGTGTAAATAAAAAATTATAAATAATGAAAATAGACAGATACATTTTTATATTATTTGTAATTTACACTCTAAAGTCAGCTAAAATATAGTTAATAATACACAAGTATTGTACATAATAATGATATGTTCAGTAAATAATCTAAAATATAGAATTTTCGTTCACAATGTAATTCTAAAGAATGGTTTTTTTTTGGCCTTGGGTCAATAAAAATTTCAAACAGAAATAGAAATAAAACAATCAAATATAATTATCCATAAATCAAAACGAA